CTGAGCACCTTTCCCACAGATAATAATATAAAACAATCTATGGAAAGGTTATCTATTCCAGGTGTATGCTTGTTTGCACTTTTTCATGTGTTTGTTTCTCTGTATATGCTGTGGCAACTCTAAGAAATAGACGAACCTTTACTTTGCCCTCTGTATTCATCATGACCCACTTGCAGAGCCAGTGCGATCAATCAATGTAATCTCAAACTCAAGAAATTTTGCAGGTCCCTTTTCTTTCTTCACCCAAAATATACACACAGTATCAATTGAATGTTACCATTTTGTAAAACAAATACTGTATTATTTCACGAGGAACCACACTGCAATCAATGGTTCACATTCATGGCATTGCTAGCCCTGATTGATTGAAGACAGGGTTAACTGCAGAGGGAGAAATGCTGTGTTCATTTACAGAAATGGTACCTGTAATGATCAAAAAGTACGGTTAAAAATAGGGGGAGGTTATAGGGTAAAATTTCTAATTTGGTGACTAAGAGCAACCTACTATTTATTACTCAATCAAGACTGACTGGCAGGTATAATTTTCTCTTCAGATAGGTGTATGAGAGTATAAACTGAAGCACCCAGAAAATAATTCCATTTAGTATGTGGAAACACAGAAAAATAAGTAATTATTAACAAATGGAGTGAAAATTTCCAAGAGACAGGATTCTTTCATTCTATGGCTGAGGCATGACAAAAAAAAAAAGATAAAAACAAACAAACAATGAGATTATGACTTCAAAGGTTGATATGGGTCAAAACAGGAATATCAAAGTGACACAATGCTCATTTTTAATTAGACTTCCTAATGTGACATCAAATTGGGATTTTTCCTAAGAAACAGCATTTCAGTAAGGCATTAAATCCTCACAGCTTAGTTTATTAGGAGGCAACAAAGGGATTCCAATCTGCTGCAAGAAAGTTTCAGCCTATAAGCACAGCCAGTGCAGTACAAAATTGTGTCATATGAATTTTAATGTGACACAAGTATGAAAGATTCCAAAAGAACAAAGGCAGCACAGTCCTGTTCCACACTACACAAATGACCTATTCTGATCTGAACAGCACACCACATTACAATCAAATTTATTTCAAAGAAGGGTCACACAGATCAAATGTAATGGCTGCTGGAATGAGTATTTCCTTTATGTAGTATTAGGGAAAACCAAAATATCAAACAATGTGGGAATGCCAGGGCACTGAAAAGAAAGGCATATTTAGGCTGCAGGGAAACAGATTTTATAAAAGATCTTTTAATTACAGTCATCCCCAATGACTACAGTTCCTAATTTTCAAAGACACCACAATACCTTAATGAAGACGTGACGGATACACATGACCTTGCCTACTGCACAGCCTTGAACATATATTTGACATTTCAAGGCACCAGAGAAAAGTTTCATGTACAGTTCATGCCTAACAAAAGTAATGAGACAGACTAAGAGGTCAGACTGGCTGGATGTCTCTCTGTGGCCTGATATCTCCATGGCAGAAACCATGATATTCCCAGAGTCAGAATACAACAAGAGAGGCTGGCAAACCTCCTCAGCTGACTATCCAACCTTACAACAACTTTAACATCATAAAGGTATCAGAACAATGAGGTCTACTTGAAAATACTAGACTGTCAGAAGAATATACCATCCAATATACTTATTAATGAATTTCTGTAAACAAGCACATAAGGATTACAGTGAAAAGCAGGCAAAATAAAAGTTAATGATCAAGTATCACTAACAAAAAAATAAGGATAAATTATTGCAGTTTTTCTTGCCACGTATTTCCACGATTTAGGCATCATTTTTGTCTTCAAATCACTTTTCTGAACAGAATCAATTACTGATGGGAAAACAGCTTGAATCCTGACTTCATGAATACAATGAATAGTATTTGAAGGTATGTGGAGCATAGTCAAACAGGGTAACAAGTACTTAAAGCAAGGTATAGGTGTAAAAAATCAGAAGTAAACATTGTACCTTGTTAAAAATCAACCATGAAGATTGCTATTTTACAATTAGATGAAGATTTACTACTCGGGTTTCTGTAAATTAAATTCTTTAAAAAGTAAATTTTACCAGAAAGTTCTCCCCAAATGAAAGCTTGCTGTTGTGGGGTTTTTTCAATAAAATGAAAATATACTAGTAGCAATGAAGTATCTTTCATTTGATTCCTAGCCAGGGCTCCCTCAGTCACACAACAAAACAAAATAAAAGCTGAATTGGAAGAATTTCCATAATGAATTGGCTACCAGCCTAAAGGTTAGAATTAGTTTTATTGCCCAAGTCTAGCACAAAAATTGGTATTAGACACCTCAGCTCTCCAAGTTTTAATCAATCTGCTTTTCAGGAGACTTTGAAATATTCAAAGAATGTAGACTATTATGACCAAAAAAACCTACCCCAGTAACTTGCAATGTGTAAGAATGAACCCTAACGAGAGATAAATTTCTATTGCCATATTTAAAATTATCTTAGCCTCAGTTTCCAGAACCCACAGCTCTCTTTCCTCTTTCAGTATTTTTGCATTTTTGGAGGTTAAAAATATTCATTTGTTAGCAGACATTTATATCCCTGACAACTGATGTATTCACCTACATTATGATGGCTCCAGTGTAAGTCATTAAGGTTTGGACTTCGAGACAGACAAGACGGGGAAAAAAGACAAATCTTTAATATTTCACTGAGTGAATAAAAATTGCATTAATTTAGATATTCAGTCACAAGAATCCAATTAGCCATGGATATATACACACATATTCATACCTTTCAAGCATCACAGTTGTTTGAATTTTGATGGCATTTTCTATAAAACATAATCCCTTTTAAGTTGCATTTAATAGATTTATTCAGATGTGCATTTCCATATGTCATATTTAAGCTTATACTACCACCTGCCTGAGGCTGTATAGTCTGAATTGTCACCCTCACACACTTCAGTAGGAAAAAATCCTCCACAGACACCATATGAACTATTTCCCTTCTGCTTAGTGGTATGATAATCATTATGACCATGGAAAACATCCATACAAAAGAAAAGTTTTATGTGTCCCCCATAAAAAAATCAGATAACATCTTCAAAACAAAACATTCAAGCTACATAAGATATTCTGCAATGAAATATCACTCTCTTCACAATTTTTTTTACACAGGTCAGCAAGTATCATCCAAGTGGTATTTGTTGCATATATGACATAGATATATAAAACTATTTGCATACATAGAGATATGCATATACATAATTTCACACTTAAAGGACACTTGAGATGCCTTCAAAGCCAGATTTGCAAAGCAAATAGATTAACTCTGCTTCCAACTACTAACATCAAGGTGATGGGATACCATCATCTCTCTGCTTTGTGTTGGGCCCATCCAATAACACTGCTGAGCAAGGGAAAAACTGATGAGCAAAGGTTAAGCAGAGGACTGCCAGAAACAAACTGAGGCTTAGAAATTGCTTCTTCAGATAAGATTAATGCTTGCCAGATGCACAGAGTGACTTTGGGGTTCCAAAATCATTACTAAGAGCACCCATTCTCTTTGAATTTACACCATCTCTCAAACATTTGTAGTTGAGGCTTTAAAGGGTTTGGACCAAACTTTCCTGTGCTTTTTTGGAATTAACAGCCCTGTCTTCAAAGTGCTCCAAAGGTCAATTCATGATTAGTGTCCCACCGTCATGCACACTGTGTCTGCGAGCAATGCACAGCATCTGGGGAGGGAAGGGAGAGAGGGAGAGGAGGAGATAAATATTAGCACTGTGATAAGCTCACAGAGCACGACTTGGAGGAGGGCAGACTTCACATGGTCCCTGCAGTTAGGTTTCAGGGGAAGCAGGGACCACCTCTCTGGAAGGAAGAGCTGGTAGAGACCCTGCACTTTTCTGCACACTTGAAGGAAAACTTAAGAACACAAAGAACTTCAGACTTCCTCTGAGCCTCAGGCCAACAGGGATTTGGACCTTTCAGGATTACTGACAATATCGGTAGCTCTGCAAGCAAACATTCCTGTTCCCTCATAAAGCGTAGGAGACAGTCCAAACCGATGATTCCCGGGACCGACTGAAGTTTAGAAAATCCCGACCTCGGCATACACTCTGCTCCAACTTCACTGCCTTTTCAAAATTTGCTGCACCCCTTCAGGTTAAGTGCCCAGGGCCAGTCTGATAGCACATGCGGTGTCACTGAGCATCCCTGTGGGCACTGCGAACAGCCACCCTCATCTAAAAGATTGCCCCTAGTTTTAATCTCTGTCAACCTCTGTATCTGCCTTTAGGTTCATGAAGCTGCCACCCCGCTGCCTCCCTGTCCATCGCGGGCCGCCACAGGCTCTCATTCCACAACCCCCGGTGCCCTAAGGCAGAGCACCATCACACCTCCACGCCTGCTTTTCTCTGTTACTCTGTTACTCCGGTATCAGCAGAGTGTTTCCTGACCCTGCCTTGATTGAAAACATCCCTCTCCGAAATGGGAGGGATAGAGGGAGAATCTGTACGCAAAGTTTACAGCTCCTGCTTGCGCTTTATCCTCCCCACCCAAGCCCTTGCCGGAGGCAGCAAGGCGAGAGAAAGAGGAGAGCAGGGACGGCCAAAGGGGAGTGTCAGCGCTGGGCTGGGGGACTCGAGGAGGACAGGGGCACGGGGCGCAGCTCTTCGCGGACACTGACCCTGGCGGGCGATCGCCGAGACAGAAGGGAGGAGCGGTGTCTTCCCGGAGAGGGGATCAGCCAGCTCTCCCCGAGGCGCGATAGCCGCGCACCCCCACCGACCCCTCCGGAGCCGGGAGCGAAGTCCAAGCCCCGGCAGCGGCAGCAGCAGAAGCACCAGCAGCAGCAGGGTAGCAGCACCAGAGGCAGCCCCAGCAGCAGCAGCAGCAGCAGCAGGTCGCCGCGCCCCACGCTGGCGGCCCCGGCCCGGGGCACCACCGCCCCCCAGGCCGCCCAGGCGATACCCAGCGCTTCGCTCCCACCCGGGCAGGGCAGGCGAAGGGATAAAGAACTCACCCCCAGCTTCCTGCTGCGGATTTTTACGTAGCCCTGCTTGACTATATCGTTAAAGTTGGAGGCCATGGCAAACGCTGCCTGCTTCCTCCCCTCCGCGCCCGGAGTCCTCCTCCTCCGCCGCCGTCGCCTCTTCCTCCTCCTCCTCCTCCTCCTCCTCTCCCGGGCCCTCCCAGGTGCCGCCGGCCGCTGGCTCCAGAGGCGCTTTCGGCATCCAGGCAGCGGCAGCCGCTGCGCTCCGCTCCGCCCGCGCCCCACTCCTCCCGCGGCTGCTCCGCTCCGCCGGGCGGGGGGCGGCCGCTCCGCCCCGCTCCGCTCTCCGCCGGCCCCTCGCTGCCCCGCTCCGCCGCCGCCCCACGCCCAGCCCAGCCCCGCTCCGCACCGCTCCGCCCGGCGGCGGCTTCGCGGCCGCCCGCGCCTACGGCCGGGAGCGGGCGGTGCGGCGGGCGGGGCGGGGCGGAGCGGGGACGCGCCCCCGGCGCCGCGGCCGCGGAGCCGCCCCCGGCGCGGCGCTGCCCTCCGCCCGCGCCGGGGCCCGCGGAGGGGGCGCGGGGCGCCTCGGCCCGCCAGAGCTCGGCGTGGCACGGGGCACAGGGCGGGTGCTCTCCTCGGCCGCCCCGGCTTTGCCCACTTTTCTCCAGGCTGCGGCCGCGGCATCCCCGGCTCCGGTGGCAAATCCCTTCGGAAACACGGCCCGGGAGGGCATCTCTCAGCCTCGTGCGTTCGAGAAGCCGCGTAGACGCCCATCAGCAAACGCGGAACTGTTGTGTCCGTACAGCAAACTTAGTGAAACAATATCTAAGCTACAGAAGTGAAGGAAGGCAAAAAAGAACCAAAAACGCACAAGTCCATCTGAACTTGAAAAATCAGTTGTCGTACATAATCTTTCTGTGTTCCCTGGAGTGATGACCATGTGTTTAATTACTGCTCACTGATGTGAGCCTAACAGAAGAATGACTTCTGAAGAAAGTGTAGTGTTTAGGAGACATTAGGAAGGGATAAAAACCCAAAGGAATTGTGTTTGATTTAGTTACATGTAAAGTATAGATGGACAGGAATGGACCCAAGCTTCTTGAGAAAGAAAAACTACAGATATACAGTATTGACAAGATAGTGCATGACTATTGTTACTTAAAATTGTACTCAACACCTTCAGTGGAAAAATTTTGATTGGTATGATAAGCTTAACAAAAGCTTCATGTACTCTTTTGCTAGATATCTACATTCTACTGCACCATTGCCCTGAAGTTTTCTGAAACAGGAATTTATAGTATGTAATGTGCTGAAGGCTGGGGTGATGGAACGTAATTAATTCTGTACTTGAAAGTTTGTTAGATTTATTTCTGATTTTCAAAATCAACAGACAGCATTAAAGATTAGTCTTGAAGCAAATAGGAAATATACAATCTAGAAAAATTATTACAGTGCTTCGGTGATGGAATTATAAGGAAAAACTTCGTAACTTTTTAAAACTACCTGGAGGTCTGCATCCAGCTCTGGAGCCCTTAGCATGCAAAAGACAAGGACCTGTTAGAGACAGACCAGAGGAGGGCCATGAACACAATCAGAGGGTTGGAAAATCTCTCCTGTGAGGAAAGGCTGAGACAGTTGGGGTTGTTCAGCCTGGAGAAGAGAAGGCTTCAGGGTGACCTTGTAGTAATCATCCAGTACCCAAAGGGTATTACTGGGTACAAAATTATTTTTGCTACTCCACTATCAGCTGGGTAGGGTATCCCATTAAAAAAAAAAAAAAAAAAAAAAAAACAACAAGCCAAAACAAAACAAAACAGAATTTTAATATCATGATCTTGCATCTTCATTGACTGCTTTTAGCATTCAAGTCTAATGAGTGTGAAAATTACAGGACTATGCCAAGAGAATTCCCTTTTCTGAGAATAACCCTTATTATTTGTTCCCAATCTTTTTTTCCTTAATTGAATAGCAATTAATGGAGCACATGGAAGTTTACCTATCCATTTATTTTTTAGCAGCTCAGTTCCCAATTATACAAATTTTGGAACAACGCCTAGGAATAGAGGTTCTGCATTATTTTTATCCAAACAAAAACTTCTATATAATTACGCAGTTTTTAATAAAAGATATGGTCATCTGAAGAAAAAGAGAAAAATACTTAGCCTATGTATAATTCTGGCTTCCTTGGCATTTCTAGTGAAATGTCAAAAGGATGAGTCTGAACTCCTACTTTTGGGCAGAATATTACTTCCTTCTTAATTTCTTTTTTAAAGATACATCAAGTCAGAATATTCCGTGATTTTTAGAGAGAAAACTGGGATATGTCTACGAGAGAATTCTTTCAAGACACCTTACCACATATTAAACAAAAGCTTTGTTCAAGATGAAGCTAGTGATTGTTTAAAGTACAGAAAGCTCTTGAAGGATCAAAAAGGAGAGGAACATTTCCTTTCAATTGCCAACCAGAAAAGTACATAATCCTATTCAATTAACTGACAAAAAGACATTTTCCTTACAGATTAACCCTGAATGATTTGTAAGTTTGTAGAACTGGTTTCACATGCACTCCCTGATCCCTCTTCACCACCTTTCAGCTACACAAAAATGGACTTGTAGGATCTGAGAAAAAATATATGTGTTCTCAAACAGAGACAGAATTAATGCAATTTTTTTTTTTAATGGTTGCTCTGTTTATCATTCAGAAAGAGAAGCAGTTTCACAACACACAGCATTCTGGGGCACTCTTTAGTTTTCCAGTTCCTGCAGTACAGATACAGCAGAATTTGTGTCATCTCCCTAACACGCATGTCTTGTCAGAACACTAGAGTGGAAAATTTCTTGCCAATGAAATTGAAGATGCTGCTATATTTCCAAAGCTAATCATACATTTATTCTTAAGTATATTATTTTATCACATAACAAAACTGGAAAATTATTTTGATTTATAATAATAATGTAGCTAATAGTAATTTTCAACCAATTTTTCTCCAGTTATTTATTATTGCCTCTGTATTTTTCTTTAAAGTCCATGTATGAATTGTATCGTTATTACTTGTTTTATTACAACAAAATATAACAAAAATACAATAAAGGATAGGGAAAATATGTGTAAAATACAAAGCATTTTCATTCTACAGTCTCCAGAGTGTAAATTAGCCAGGCTGAACTTATAAAATGATCAGTCTGGTATTTATTTTCAGCTGCTTTGTATAGCACCAGACAGAATAATCAAATATTCATCTGCATATGAGTCCCATGGGCAGTTTGGGGCACAAATGCATAGCAAGGCCACTCTGAATCACAGGAATACAGACAAACTGTGTTACTTCCCCACAAAAATAGCCTTGTGCTCACATTACATGCATGCATTCTATTTGCTGAGAAAGTTGCAGCTTACAAAGGAAGATTCCTCAAAGCAGTCACGCCAAATGCTCCATCTCTTCAGAAACCTCAGGAAGTCAAATGGTCTCAGAAACTCAACAGGTACAAACTCAGTGGGCAGTGTCAGGGAAGACAGAGAATGATTCCTTCTGAATAAATACCTTATATATTTGAAAAAAATATCATGTTTTTTATATGGCTGCTGGTGTGAAATCATCGTTAGGAAAGGGAAATTATTCAGCAGGTAATCAAGTCACAAATTATTTCAAGCAGAGAAGTTAATTTCTGATCTACCTAACATAAGTGCAATCAAATCTAATACTATTTTGGACAGACAATATGTTTGCCTCCAACAGAAAGTAATTAATTTGAATGAAATTGCTTACTTGTCAAAATGAACAAACTTAGGCAGTATATATTTTAAATCTGAAATTATATGTCCACTGTTTGTGAATGATTCACATTCATGAATCATTTTCCAGTGATGGTTTTCAGTGTTTGACGTTTCCAGCCAGGGTGGACTTTTACCACACTTGCCAAAGAAGAGCACAGAGAGCTCCTCTCAATTTCTAGCTGTTTCTCCCTCTACTTCCCTGACCAAATACCAGCTGAGACTAAAGGAAAATCTCTGGTAAAAAGTTTATCAAAGAATGGCAATATTTATTCAAGACACCTGATAAAAAGCATATTCTCACCTAAAGCTGTTTCCAATCTAAAATAAACAGTCATTTTTATTATGATAGAAATTTGCATAGGCAATGCCAAGAAAGAAACATTAGCTAATGTATTATTAATGTGTTGAAAGCCTACCTTCAGCTAGGCTTCAGACAATTATTTTGCTCCAACCATAAATCACATACTAACCAGAGTCCTTTGTGAACTAGCATGAAATATAAATCATGTAGATAGACAATATTAAAAAACTGTTGTTTTCCATGGGCATTGCAAAAAGCAAAATGATTATTTCCTGCATGAAACCACATGCATATTTATTACTGGCTTTCTATCCAGTCCAATAGTACCTATTTTTTTATACCCCAACTATAGGATAGATATGTTTATATCTAACCCTGTTGCTCCCTACCTGTGCCAGAAAGGTAAATTTCAGAAAGTGTCATCTCCTAGTTTATAGAGTGACATATTAAAGCTGATTAGTCTGGTTTCGGAGATCAGAAAAGGGAATATTTTCACCTCTGCTTTTCTATCAGAGGGCCCGTAAGAGTCAAAATCTCTGCTCCTCTAAGACTCTGAACACAAATCATAATTTATGCTTTTGTCACTTTGCCCCAAACCAAGAAATACCGTGGGTATGACTGGGGGCCCCTGTGACTCTGTAGGCAAACTATCTTTTTCTTGGAAGATGTTCCCTCTTGGAGGTAACTACACCAGCTAGAGGGATTACTTTCCCCAGATATCTGCCTCAGTCTGGTTTTGGAGAGCAGCACCCTGCAGCAGTAATATTAGAAGAATTTGTATACTGACTTTATCATAAAGGGCTTAAGCTGATATATTTGACCATGAAGTGTAATAACCAAGAGAAAGGTACTGTGCTTCTGCTTGTGGGGAAATAATGTTTCAAATTAAGGCAGCTAAATCTTAGGCAACCCATTAGACCTAATCCCCTTGCAAACAAATATAGCTATAAAAGCATTAATTTTCTGACTGGCTTCTGCCAATTTCTAAGCATGAAACATGGTGAATAGCACATAAGCTTTCTATTTAAAATAATATGTTTGCCATTTTACCTAAAATACTCCAATAATCTTCAGAAAGAGCTTCATGAACACTTTTAGTGAATGAAATCCCATATTGGGTAGAAAGTATTATTTTCCATTATAATTATCTCTAAAGACTTGAAGGTTAAAACTTTTCTAAATGCACTTAATATTTAAGACAGACTTGAATTCTAATTCATCCAAGTTTTCCAGCATATCTGCCATGAGAAGCCCTGC